CATGCAATGCTCCTGTGGGCCCCACTTCGGCTATACGGGGGCACAGTTAGCAGAGATGGGCTTCACATGAGCATGCCCAACTTGTGCTGCCCATGCAATGCTCCTGTGGGTCCCACTTCGGCTATACGGGGGCACAGTTAGCAGAGATGGGCTTCACAGGAGCATGCCCAACTTGTGCTGCCCATGCAATGCTCCTGTGGGTCCCACTTCGGCTATACGGGGGCACAGTTAGCAGAGATGGGCTTCACAGGAGCATGCCCAACTTGTGCTGCCCGTGCAATGCTCCTGTGGGTCCCACTTCGGCTATACGGTCGAAGTTAGCACAAAGGTGGGCTCCACGGGCATATGCCCCACTTGGGCTGCCCATTTAATGCTCCTGTGGGTTCCACTTCGGCTATACGGGGGCACAGTTAGCAGAGATGGGCTTCACAGGAGCATGCCCAACTTGTGCTGCCCATGCAATGCTCCTGTGGGTCCCACTTCGGCTATACGGGGGCACAGTTAGCAGAGATGGGCTTCACAGGAGCATGCCCAACTTGTGCTGCCCATGCAATGCTCCTGTGGGTCCCACTTCGGCTATACGGGGGCACAGTTAGCAGAGATGGGCTTCACAGGAGCATGCCCAACTTGTGCTGCCCATGCAATGCTCCTGTGGGTCCCACTTCGGCTATACGGGGGCACAGTTAGCAGAGATGGGCTTCACAGGAGCATGCCCAACTTGTGCTGCCCGTGCAATGCTCCTGTGGGTCCCACTTCGGCTATACGGTCGAAGTTAGCACAAAGGTGGGCTCCACGGGCATATGCCCCACTTGGGCTGCCTATTTAATGCTCCTGTGGGTTCCATCTCGGCTATACGGGGGCACAGTTAGCAGAGATGGGCTTCGCAGGAGCATGCCCAACTTGTGCTGCCCGTGCAATGCTCCTGTGGGTCCCACTTCGGTTATACGGTCGAAGTTAGCACAAAGGTGGGCTCCACGGGCATATGCCCCACTTGGGCTGCCCATGTAATGCTCCTGTGGGTTCCACCTCGGCTATACGGGGGCACAGTTTGCAGAGATGGGCTTCACAGGAGCATGCCCAACTTGTGCTGCCCATGCAATGCTCCTGTGGGTCCCACTTCGGCTATACGGGGGCACAGTTAGCAGATATGGGCTTCACAGGAGCATGCCCAACTTGTGCTGCCCGTACAATGCTCCTGTGGGTCCCACTTCGGCTATACGGTCGAAGTTATCACAAAGGTGGGCTCCACGGGCATATGCCCCACTTGGGCTGCCCATGTAATGCTCCTGTGGGTTTCACTTCGGCTATACGGGGGCACAGTTAGCAGAGATGGGCTTCACAGGAGCATGCCCAGCTTGTGCTGCCCATGCAATGCTCCTGTGGGTCCCACTTCGGCTATACGGGGGCACAGTTAGCAGAGATGGGCTTCACATGAGCATGCCCAACTTGTGCTGCCCATGCAATGCTCCTGTGGGTCCCACTTCGGCTATACGGGGGCACAGTTAGCAGAGATGGGCTTCACAGGAGCATGCCCAACTTGTGCTGCCCATGCAATGCTCCTGTGGGTCCCACTTCGGCTATACGGGGGCACAGTTAGCAGAGATGGGCTTCACAGGAGCATGGCCAACTTGTGCTGCCCGTGCAATGCTCCTGTGGGTCCCACTTCGGCTATACGGTCGAAGTTAGCACAAAGGTGGGCTCCACGGGCATATGCCCCACTTGGGCTGCCCATTTAATGCTCCTGTGGGTTCCACTTCGGCTATACGGGGGCACAGTTAGCAGAGATGGGCTTCACAGGAGCATGCCCAACTTGTGCTGCCCATGCAATGCTCCTGTGGGTCCCACTTCGGCTATACGGGGGCACAGTTAGCTGAGATGGGCTTCACAGGAGCATGCCCAACTTGTGCTGCCCATGCAATGCTCCTGTGGGTCCCACTTCGGCTATACGGGGGCACAGTTAGCAGAGATGGGCTTCACAGGAGCATGCCCAACTTGTGCTGCCCATGCAATGCTCCTGTGGGTCCCACTTCGGCTATACGGGGGCACAGCTAGCAGAGATGGGCTTCACAGGAGCATGCCCAACTTGTGCTGCCCGTGCAATGCTCCTGTGGGTCCCACTTCGGCTATACGGTCGAAGTTAGCACAAAGGTGGGCTCCACGGGCATATGCCCCACTTGGGCTGCCTATTTAATGCTCCTGTGGGTTCCATCTCGGCTATACGGGGGCACAGTTAGCAGATATGGGCTTCACAGGAGCATGCCCAACTTGTGCTGCCCGTGCAATGCTCCTGTGGGTCCCACTTCGGCTATACGGTCGAAGTTAGCACAAAGGTGGGCTCCACGGGCATATGCCCCACTTGGGCTGCCCATGTAATGCTCCTGTGGGTTCCACCTCGGCTATACGGGGGCACAGTTAGCAGAGATGGGCTTCACAGGAGCATGCCCAACTTGTGCTGCCCATGCAATGCTCCTGTGGGTCCCACTTCGGCTATACGGGGCACAGTTAGCAGATATGGGCTTCACAGGAGCATGCCCAACTTGTGCTGCCCGTGCAATGCTCCTGTGGGTCCCACTTCGGCTATACGGTCGAAGTTATCACAAAGGTGGGCTCCACGGGCATATGCCCCACTTGGGCTGCCCATGTAATGCTCCTGTGGGTTCCACCTCGGCTATACGGGGGCACAGTTAGCAGAGATGGGACTCACAGGAGCATGCCCAACTTGTGCTGCCCATGCAATGCTCCTGTGGGTCTTACTTCGGCTATACGGTGGAAGTTAGCACAAAGGTGGTCTTCACGGGTACATGCCCCACTTGGGCTGCCCATACAATGCCCTCTGGGGTCGCACATCGGGTTTACGGGCGCAAAGTTACCACAGAGCTGGGCTCCGCGGAGGCATGGTCCAACTTGGGCTGTCCGTGCGGTACCCCCCGCGGGTCACGCTTTGTGTTACGTTACTGGCGCTCTGACTGACTAAACTAATTAAAGGAAGCCCGATGATTGATGTGCCGGGAGAATAGCCGCACGGTACACACGCAGGTGCTTCGGAGAGTGTGTACTATAGTCACTGACAGCTGCTGAAACGCAAGCATATTGGTATGTTCACGCATCTTGGTTCGCGATCCGTCCATCAGCGTTCTTATCGGTTCAGGCTGCAATCTCACTGGTGGCAAAGCGATAATAAGACACTCGGGGCTCATCCTGACCGAATTTTTTTTTTAAACTGCGAGCAGCTATATATTGTCGTCCAATGGCTGCTTGATTCCTTTCTGCTCCGCTGCTCACACTAAGACTCCGAGGCATGTCGGATATGTTATCGCTGGAGAGAGATGACACAACTCTTCGCCCATCGACTTCGCACAATTCCAGCCGCTGTATTTTACGTCGCTTTAATAACGAGGAGGATAAACTCGGTTAAACTCAAGCGCAATCAAAGATAAAAGCCCCCCCCCCCCCCCCCATACACACAAAGAAAACCAAAACATAACAGGAAAGCAAACAGGATATAAAGATGGCCCATAAAAACGGCGGAGGCACACTTCAGCGAGAATTCTACTATTTTCCCGCAAACAAACCCGGTAAGTGGAGGAACGGGAGAGGTATAAAACGTTTATCCCGGCCGTGAAGTATAATTCGACTGTATTTTATTTATTAGTTTTTCCCCGTAACTACAAAACAAAACAAAGCCAGACGAAGCAGGGTTTCAAACTCAACAGAAAAGGGAACTAGTTCAAACAAGGGGAAGGCGACCAAGACGAAAGAGCCATGGCTCTAACGCACGGAGTACACAGTCGTACGAATGTGAAAAGAAAATATAGGGGAGGAAAAATAGCCAAAGGTTCCGAAATATACGCATTTCTAGCTCCGCTCCAAAGAGGAAGGATCTCAAATAGCGTAAATGTTTGGTTCTTCCCTTCCCACTTGCCTAAAAGGCGGCCAGACTCGGGAAAAGACGGAAAAGGAACGGGGGACAGAAATTCCCCTTTGGGGATGACCGTTTTTATAGTGAAAGGAGGGAAGGAGGAATGGGAAGATCGCTTTCTCTGGGTTTCTTCCTTTTCCATTTCCCAGTTCCTCCTTCCAAAGAAACGGGGTTCCCGAAAAACAAACTTGGCATAGAAAAGACGGGTCTCTCGAAAAACTTGGCATACAACGGACGGTTCGGCAGCGTCTCCCAATCTGAGCATTCGAGAGCGAGCTTTTTGTTTGATTGAAGTCGGTCGGCTCCTAGATATTTTCGTTTGGGGCTCTTGTTTTTAAGGCTCTGTACTTATCAGGCGGCTACCCTTGCAATCGGAGCTTGCAAGTTTCTTTAGGCGAGATTGTTTAGACAAAGGCACGTCTATTATCTAAGCGGGTTTTAGAAGCGTTTTAGAGACAATGCTGGCAGGTTAATACGCAGCTGCTGAAGAAATAGTCTGCAGGGTTGGGAGGCAGGAAAGCCCTTTTTCCTCAACGTTAAGCTCCGAGATACGGACGTGGCAGGAACAAATTGCGTCTTGCGTATCGTGAATCAGACATCTGACGCAAGTTTTATGAATATTTCAAAAAGTGTCTCTATATAATACCAGCCGATTAAGTTGTCATCCAGGTCAGTGTGCAAGGATGCGGAGATATCTAACGTAAGACAACCTAGTTTGCCGCCTTTTTTTTCTACCCCCTTTTTGCCTCAATAATATTGAGTATAGAGGTACCTACTTATGCATCCATGATATGTAAGCAGCTTGCGTATTTTCGCCTACTTGCGTTTGTTTTAAAGATTTTACAGCAATCTCAATATCTCTTCGCAGCGATAATGAAATGGCGGCATTCGCCGAGAAGACGGCTCAGAACGAAGCATAGAGCGTGGGGGTAATGAACCCCGCCTTGTGTTTCTTAAGCTGTCAGGAACCATCGGGAAAATTTGTAAACACGTGACGACAGCGCCACGCCTGCACGTTATCCGCTACCTCTCTTTTAGCTCGTTCTTCGCGCATATCCCGAAAAGCAATGTCTCAACTCACCTGGACCCTTGGCTCCTCCTTCGACAAGTCGACCCAGTCTGAATATGACGGCTCGCTCGTACTCCTGCACGATCTGGGAGACAAGAAAGTAGAGAGGTCACGTCATCGTCATCATGATCAGCATCGTCAGCAAAGTCATAACTCCAATCATCATCATTGTCGCGTCTATCGCTGTTAACGTCATGCTTGCCTTATCCACCCACACAGGAAAGGCTCAGAACTCGAGCTGATAGCTCGAGTTTCCAGATTTTCTCATCCGGTGCATCAATACCTGGCTTGCACACGTACTGATGCATGGATGCACCATTCGTACTTGTCCTTGCTGAGAAAACCAAATTCGATAGGTATGAAATGTACGCTGCAGGAGGTAGGTGCTCAGCAAACAGAACGGACGCGGAAGTGAGGTCAATGCAATTCAGTGTAGTGGCGACGTGCATGATCAAAAGCGTCGCTGTGATCGATATTCTATGATTGGCCAAACGCTCACTATGACGTATTGAATGAGGTGAATGTTACGTTTATTAATAAAGATAAGAGAAATGCCAGGCCGTCGACTTTGACGGTGTTGGTTAAACGATGCGATGACTCAAAGCTTCCATTGTGCTTTCTACACACGCCGTCGAAATATCCGCGGGCAATTGATAATTCTCGTCGTGACGTGGCATATAGAAACCATAAGAGGAGGAACACGTAGGCTGTGTTCAAAATTTTACTTGAATGGATCCGAATTACTCCGGCGGATCATTGTCACGTGATAGGTTTTCGAACGCCAATGTACAGAACCTTTACCCTAGAGTGAGATCGAGTAATTTTTGGAAGACGGCCCTCGTCGCCAATAGTGCGGATAGTTCGAACTCTTCACCTGCTGTGCGGTTTATAGCGGTATATTGAGAGAGTTCTGCCGATGGGCGGAGCAAAGACCGCCGCCAGTGCCGAATATTTCTCCCGCGGTTAGAGCGTAAACTAAGAGTGCGACACAGCGTCCACCAAACAGCGGACCTCAACGTCACAATATTGGAAACGACATTTAAAGCGTGAAATAGAAGCGTTCAATCTGGCAGCAGAAATGATCGCGAGTACACAGTTTGCTCTGCTTTGGAACGCGCGTTCGTTTCTTTCTACCGTTGAATATGGGCGTGACGAAAACCTCACATGCGCGAAGTTTTTAGTCACCAGGAGTTGGACCTTTTTACTCTAGCGACGCTAGAACGGCTTAAATTAGTCGAGTCGCATTTCTAGACCTCACGACTAGCGCTTGGGGCTGTTTCGCGGCCTGTGGTTGGGCACGAGATGCTCGCCTATTCAAACCAATGAATGTCCAAACACTCCCAATATCCTGCTCTGGTACGAGCCAGGGAGCACTGCCCCCCCCCCCCCCCCTACCCCCCTCCTAGGGCACATAGAAAAAATTTAATGACGAAACGCACGTGGCGCTCCAAGACCTATATGCTTTGTGCCATGTACTTCTGTTCTTAAGTTGTGTGTGCGCCTGCGTGCGTGTACGTATATGTGTGTATCTGTGTGGTGACTTTCAGCTGTATTTCACCGGATCAAGTGTTTGCTTCTTGCGCCTAATATTGCTCCTTAAACCATGTTCTTTTAGTCCCTGTCATAAACGTGCTACATAAACAAGCAAAGAAATAAATAAAGGCAAATAGTCTGGTTTATATAAAAAAAATTAATCTTAGCCTGACAAAAATAAAAAAATACAGAACAAAAAACACTCAGGCATAGCAAACGCACGCTGGCGTTAAAAAAGTTTCATTTTTTTTTTTTGTTTTTGTTTTTGTTCTCGGAATGTGGTTTGAACTTCCTTGCCGCTCACATAGTTCAGTGCTGTTGTCTGCCTGGAGGGACCGCGACTGAGGAAAATCGATTCGGCTTCTCCCTAGGCAACGACAGTGGCGCCGCCTTCGGCCTCGGGGACTTTTGCAATTGAGTTTACGCTCGGTAATCCCCTTGGCCTCTCCGGCCATCGCATGGGGGCATCGGCCAATCCGGTTATAAAGGATCCTCCGAGAAAAAGCATCTGCGTTCGTCTAGAAACATCCGCTGGAGGCCCGCACGGCGTCAGGATTAAAAACTCGGCACGGAAAAATGGTCTTTACTTCGCAAGAAATCCTATGGTCAACCTGTCTATTTTTAGATTTGGCTGTTGGCCTGGAAGTTCTTGGATTAGGGCTGATCTGCATGTGTTTCCGGTGGAAGTTGGGTATCGAACGTAGTCTCCGACACCATGTCCTTTTAAACTGGTGGTGGAATCCTAAACTACTGCAGGACGGCAGGAGCCATGTTCAGTTAGATGGCCAGTATAGACCCCTGTGGAGAGTTTGCCTTTGGCTAATAGCTATGGAATCCCTACGCAATGGTGGACGCAAAACACGTGGACACAAACTCACAAAATAAAACCACAGCGTCACAGCGCTCTTTCTGCGTTTGGACATCCACAGAAAGTGTATTGTACTCAGTGACACTGCGCTTTCGGTGCTGTTCGATTGACTCGTCGGCTCCCAGCAGCGGCTACGCTCAGGCGTTTAAAAAAAAAAAGCGTAAAAAGATTGCAAACAGTGGTTCGACTCGAATAGCGCAGCGTCATTCCATCGTAAACCCTGCAACAAACACACACAAAAAAAAGGTAGATCTTGGTTAAGTAATGACTTTCGCATTCCACTTTGTCGGTTGCTCCGCCATTGCGCTGTGATTCTGGCCTGCAAACAGTCGGAACGTGACCTTCCAAAGGGGTTCTAATAGACTCAGTTTCACGCCAAGTCCGAGCATAACCAAACCTTTATTCGATGGAGGCAGTCAAGCAGCTCCAGAAGTGCATCGTCGCCTTTGCGCCTTTACTATCTCCTACTAAACCAATGACGTAGAGTGAACGCGCCGCTACTCTGAGGTAGTTTTTTTTTTTTTTTTTTTTTGCTATGAGAGATTGGTCTAGAGGGTGATAGTAAACGTACAAAAATGACGAGGGCCGTGACGATGCGCTTTTGGCGCTGCTTGATTAGGTCAATTGAACTGTAGCATCGGCTGCGCCCGGACTTCGTGTGAAACGGAGCATAGCCTCCTATATACTGACAAAGCCTGGCAGACCGCCACGAGAAGCGGCCGCCGAAATGGAAAAAGCGGAGCGGCAGAGGACGGATGAGGGGAGAACCCAACGAGGTAGAGGGGCTTAGAGTGATAAACCGGAAGTTCGGAAGTGGCACCCCCCCGGTTGCCGCCATATTTTACGCAAATGTGACCACTCGTCACATGACCTCCCAAGAGCCGTGACGTCACAGGTAAGATGGCAGCGCCCAGAGCTGGCGGATGCGAGTTTGTTCGGTGCGCGGTAGCCGTGATGTGCAGCTGCTTTCCGACGACTTCGGGCTTCTTCGTGCTCGCTGACGCAGGTATAACGTGAAAATATGAAGGAATGATACTTTATACCGTTTTTGCGCAAGATCGCTCTGGATCATCTGGATATTAACGCCTGTGAGACAGCATCAGCTCTGCATCGCCGTACCGGTGCTCGGATTCCGGGATGTGTCCGAGGATCGATAGAACTTTGAGGGCTTTTAACATTAAATTTTCGCATTCTCTTAGCTTTGTTTGAACGTTGAAATATCTGAGAATCTACGCGAAATGTATACGCAACGTTAGGGCCTAAGGGAAGTTGTTTCAGCCCTCCGTCACCGAACAACCATAGGAACTTTTAGCGAGGAAGCTCCTGCGATTTTAACCTTTTCTTCCTTTTTTTGTGGGTGTGAATGCGAAGTGCACCCTTATTTTCAGCTACGAGGATGGCGTTTTATTGAGTATGGGGAAGAATAAATCGTTTGTAGGATTTATTGCAGCTATACTCTTTTCCATCAAGAGTGCATTGTATTAGTTTATCTCTAATTACCTGGATAAGATGATTCATATTTTTGTTCATCCCTTGCCTGGAGAGCAGTCTTGTTGAAAAATGTTGACTACCATTCCTTTCGGTCTCTTCAATAGACTCTTTTTAAAAGTGTGGGCTGTCTATACTTCGCATCACCGTAACTTGGAAAAGGCCAACCGCCACAGCCCCCTCGAGCCAATCAGAGAGACCGAGCGAAGGTGTGTGACAAATCTGTGCAGACGAGCACTCTGGTGATATGTTGTCATGTGCCTCTGTCCAATGTGTGTATTGACTCACCGAGACTGTAGCCTTTGCCGTCTGCCAAATTCTGATGAAACAAATTACAGTAGCTACTACTGTAATTACCCCAGGCTTTCATACTTTGGGTATTCGTTCGACAAGAATGTTATGTCCGCCATCCCTGTGAATTCGGCTCAGCACCTATTGGACTTGAATGCTGCATTAGCGTTCGACGTGAACTGGGGCCCATTCGTGTGCTTTACGCCGAAAAAAATGATGACAGTTGTGTTGCTTGATAAGGTTCTGCAAAGGGTCTATTGTGTCATACATATAGGAAGTGTCATGCTATATAACAATGCATCAACACGTACTATTAAACTATATGCTCAGAGTTGTGTTTGTTTTTCCAATTAACAAGTTACAGCAGTGTGCTTTAATGCTATTATCATGTGTGTAGTTTTAAGTATCCTCCCTGCAATGCCTACGAAGGCCCCTGGAAGGAATAAATTAATAAATAACATTTTCACATCACTGGAGTTGGTTTTCGGATGCACCACATGTTCAGGAAAGGTTGAACGAGTGCAGCCCCTTGCAAGAAGTCTGCCAGTCTGGTATGACCCCTTAATTAATATTAAATGGGTCAGAGAAGTGAGTGTCCTCGTAAGGTCCAGAGCGTGCAGTGGACACAATTCTCGGTGTGTAGACTCTCAAGGCATGAAGGCAAGCGGAAATATGTTTATCTGGTTAGTGTATCAAATATGTTTATTTCCACTTGATTACATAATTATTGATTCTTAGTAAATGGTTAAATAGCGAGTTCTTTCTGCGACAGTCTCGTGTCAGGCGTTCAGTCGTAGTACCTGTGGACCTTGTTGTCGGATGACGCTCCTGGCACGTCGGTGTTCAGTTTGGTCGAGTGGCAACTTTGACCGACTGATGCTGTCTTGTAATCATACGTCATGTGC